GTCCTCACTCAAGCTCATCTCTCTGCCTAGAGGGAGGCTACAGTCACAGAGACGAGTTCAGCTGGGCATAGCACTCATGTAGATGGGGAGGACACGATCTTCCACTTCACACAGCCACTGAGGGGCTTGGACCTCACCCACGACAGGTTAAATATTTTGGGAAAAGAGTTTTACTACTCAAAAGAAAAATCTTATAGCAGTTTCTCATGCACTTCCTACTGAATTTGAACAGAAAGCTTTATCATTATTTAAAGCTTTATTATTTATAATCTTATCTACCTTTAAGTTCTGCAGGCGTTCAGTTCTGTAACGCAGACTTACCTTCAGCTTGCATGTACTTACTACTACTCTGTTCCACAACCATAAATTTAAAGTGGAAAGTAAACATATTAGAAGTCTGCTGGAAGGCATGTCATACTGTAACAGCTCAACACTCAATATACGCTCAACTTCGAACCTTTTCCAAGGAAAAACATTATAAAGCAGCATTTACAGGTTCAGCCCAAATGTCGTAACAAAAACTATGTTCTTGCAAGTAGGTTTTTCTACTCCACTCAGGAATGTCTACACCAATTGAACTATTAAAATGATCCACAGCATGTTTCTGGCTTGTGTCAACTAGCATTCTTCCCAAACAATTCCCAGGAGGAGCTCAAGAGTTACATGGTCCAAGGAGCAATTCCCTGCAGGCCAATAGAAGCAGCCATACCGTTTAGGTATTTAGTCTACCAGCCACAACACAAACCTGCTTCGTGCCAGCCAGTTGATTCCTGGGAATGTTCTCAGGCACAACTGGTAGAATAACTACCGAAGCGTATTAACACTTTAAAAGGAAAGGGGAAGAGCAAGCACAGAGCCTTCAAGCAGATTGTGCACAAGGAAACCCTAATGTTTTAGTCTAAGATGTCAGAAAATACTTCTGGTATTAGGCAGGGGACAAAATTTCTACGGGAAGTCTCTGAAAATACTGTCAATTCTCACCCTGCTTTTTCTTCTTCCTCCTCTCATTAAATAATCACCATGAATGTGCAAGATATACACCTAAGTCACCTAGTTATTTTTTCATAACGTGCTGGGTAATAAAAATTACCATCCGCAAGCAATAACAAAATCTTGTAGATGCAAAATTATGGCGTCAGAACAGGAAAACCAAAAAACAAACAAAAAAAACCCAAAAACCTTTTTCAAAACCCTCATCCTCGTAAAACATTTTGTTTTGTTTCAAACTTCAGAGCAATTAAGAGTTTAAGAAATGTCACATTTGTAGCACATCTCTGTGCGAGTGAATGATTTAATGATGTGTTTCATGATTCACTGTTCAGAGTCTGCATGCAGACATACCTCCTGTATTTAACACTTGATAGTTTTATAAATAATTACTCCCTCTAATGTCTTTTTTTTTTTTAATTGAACTTTTAGAGGCAGATCAGTAAAACCACGTTAGAATCAACTGAGGTCAAGACAATGCACTAACCCTTAATTTCATTCTGGCTTTCTTCTCTTTTTCTTTCAAGTTCTTTTCGATCATAATTTAGTCTTCGTAGGCACATAATTCCACACTGAAAACTGTTTCTGTTTAGTAAAGGAAAAAAAAAAAGGGAAAAACCATTTAGAGATAACAGAAACATTTACTCTAAGTCAGGTCTCCAACTCAAATCTATTTACCTGTGAAAGCTGTCCACCATTTTAAGTTGCCCACGCAGATCTTTTTTAGTTAAATGATCCAGCATTCGAGCGTCAACAAGACATTCCATGAAATAGCTGCGATACTGAGGGAGCCCCAGACTAGGGAGCCATTCATTGCCAATCCACTCATGGTTCATATCACCATATGCTAACGTCTGTTTTTAAAAGATTAAGGAATAAGCTTATTAAAATGAGAAATAAAAGAGAAAAGCTTTTTTTAGACAACATATTTTAAAAGAAAAAAGCAAAACAATGCTTACTTAATTCTTAACCTGTAAAGGCAAGCAAATAAAAATATCGAATACTACACGTGTTTTCTGAAGAAGTCAATCTCAACAAGAAAAGTGCAGATACTCAGACCAGTGAGTAAAAATGCCTTAATTTCATGTTGAAGAGTATGGAAAAAATATGCAAAACCTAATAAAAATTAAAGAGACTAATCTATACTGTTTTGATAGCAAGAGCCATAGAGTTTCATTTTGTTAAGATGCTAAAAATACCGTATCTCTTGAAAACTGGGGGGAGATTCTTATTTTTCACATGACCATATAAATACAAGATACCAAAAAATAACTACAGGGTTGTTTTTTTAATACGCTTAACTGTTTTCAGAAACTGATCCCCATAAGTAAGAAAAAACATGATAAAAACCCACTACTGAAGAACAAGCAATTCCAAGTGCTAGTCCTTATCCTAAAAACAAAACAAAAAGCAAAAAATGCCAAACCCCCCACTTCTTTCGCTGCAGTTTTGACCTGCAAATCATCAGGCATTTTTTTGGAGAAAACTTCTAGAAAGAAGAGAGTTTCTACCTACACATCTAATCATTCCCTGAGCAGCAAAACCCAGCAGCTCTTTTTTTCAAAACGGTAATAATTCATTTTTACTGTGCAATTAAAAGCCAAATTCTCCTCTAGAGGAAGAAGCATCTTCTAGAGAGGAGCAAGGCCACGTAGCAATGCATTTCTCCAAGCCATCGCTAGGTAGCAGACTGAAAGAGCGTGTTACTCTTGTCACAGGGAGGCAAGCTGTGATTGTTATCATCGGCAATCTGCAAATGAGCATCTTGAGACGTAGTTAATGGGGCTTAAACGGGTTTTAGCTGGAGGGCAGCCAAGCAAGAAGAGACTACACTGTCCAAAGACACGGGTCACAGGCAAATCCTGAGTTTTGTTTATACCCCTGTATAAAATGCTCGGCTATCTCAATGCCTGGAAATACAATTAGGATTTGTCACCACTTTAAGGGAAAACAATTAATCAAGGAGGATTACAGACTTAGTGCACAGAAATCTACTTAACTATCTAGGCTCACTATGGCTTGTAGCACATCTGTGGTGGTGGCCAGGTTGAACAGGGACTTTCTGCACACAGCAGATATTTTTGCTGGACTGCTGGCTTCCTAGGGAGCCACCCCCCAATCAAAACACACCACGCTTTATGGAATGAAATTATTTTAAAATTCAATCCAGTACGTTCAATGCATAGAAGACAACAATACTTATGAAGCCAGTAAATACATTTTGGTGATTCATGAGCTAGAGGATAAATATTTCTGAAAACTAATAACAACGATTTCTGATTATTCTTCCCCCTAAGAGCACTTATTAAAAAGCCTTGTGCATAGCTTTTTTTGTGATGTACTATGTAACAAAGTATTTTACAAATTTTCAGTGATGAACCACCAAATCTTGGAGGATCGAGAAAACGTTAAAATATTTAAATATCACCAAAATATAAAACTGTATCTTCCAAGTATGCATTATACAGAGATAGGCCTGCAGTTTCCCCTTTTCCCAAGCCCCAAGCCACACAAGACTCACCAAAAGAAACTGCTATAAAGGAAAAACAAATTTCTTTCATGCTCTAATTATTGTGACACTTTACATATAGTCTATAATATTACATAAAGTTTCCAACCTGAGCCCAGCTTCCCTCCTCATCTTCCTGTTACGTGGTTAGAAAAGCAAAAGAACACATACATATTAGTATTTAAATTTAGTAAGGAGATCAAAGTTAAAGATCCACTGCAAGGCTCTATGTCTATTGCATACAAAAGAAAAACTAAATAAAGCAAGCATCATGCATTGTAAAAAAAATATTTACAAGGCACTCATTTTCATATGAGAGGTTGCAAAACCCATCTACTGATTAAATTTTCTGAAATTTATGCATAAATAATTCAATTTGTCCATCAGTCAATCAAATCAGAGCTCCATTGTAAAGATTAGAAAGCTTTGTTTACAAACTTATCAGTGTTGATTTTTTTTCCCCCCTTCTGGAAAAACACCTATCAAGATGCAGGTTACAAAGTTAATAATTAGAAGAAGCAACAATCCAGAATTTTAATGCATTAATTTGGAAAAAAAAAAGAAAAAAGAAAAGAAAAATAATACCAAAAGGCACTTGATTCAAATGTTCAAAAGGTGGGAAAAGCACTCTAAGGAACAGAGGTGGCAACACTATAAACTAACCGTTTGTTGTGTGGCTGTAAGATTTTCCATTTCTTCATGTGTTACCCAGACATTTCCCGTGGTCTAATATGACCCCACAGGGAACCAATCCCATCCAGTGAAAGGAAAGCAGTAACAAAGAGGAGAGGTTGCAGAACACATAAGCAATTGGTACACGTAAGGAGCAGGCATGGGCAAAAGCAATGGTTTCTAGTCTTATAGGTACATCTACTGAAAGTAACGGCATGGAATAAAAGCCTATTCACATGGATCACTTTTATTCAAAGATATTAACAGAACTGAATGTGATAAATAGCTTACACTGATGTAACTAATGGGCAAACACTTGACACTGCTGTAATCCAAAAACCGCATTTGTAGTCTAGTACGTAACCCTAGGCACCTCAGAAATAACTTCAAGATTGCAGGGCAGACAGACTCACGAGGGGGAAGTCACACAAACTTTAAGTGTCCAAGTTTACTATAGTATAGAGAGACAGCTCGACTCCTGGTTTACGTAATCTGAATCGCTATTTGGAGTTAATGGCCTTATACATGGATTAAAACAGCCTCTAACTAGTTTACAAATTTCTCTATGCACATGTATACTTCATCTGTATTATTCTCCTGAGGCCAAAAGATGAGGCAAATAACATGTATTGTAAATAGTTTGGATTATATACTTACACTGATATAAACTTCTCTTT